GGTGGTTGTGTCTTGGTGTGAGCTGTCAGCTGTTAGCAGGTCACTAGGGAAGAGGGCAGAGTATGTTCCTCTAGATAAACAGATCTCAGCACCGTATGGACTTGAAGCTGTTGCCAGAGCTGGCTGCCTGTGACCCCTGAGCTGTCTGTTGTTAGGGCTTGTCCCCTCTGATGAGCTGCTGTATCATCAGTACTGCTTTTAAAAGGCTGTGAGGTGGGGTGCTGCTGCAGGAGCAGCCCTGCTTTCCTGTAAGTGACTGGCCTGGCTGACCCACTGCCTTCTGACCCAAATGGCAGTGTCCAGTAGTAGGGTCTGGCTGGCATTTGGTGCTCTCCTCCCTCCCTCTTGGATATGATGTTTCACTCTGCTTTGCAGAAGCTGAAGTGGGGCAGAATGAGGCTGGCAGTTCTTCTGCTGAACAGGCTCCAGCTTACGTATCCTCACGGAAAAGCTCTGCTGTAATATGTAATTCAGCAGTAGGTTCTTCAGGGACTGCTACTCTTGCTTCCCCCATGCCTGTCAGTCCCAAGGTGTGAGTCTTGTGCTTTTCCCTCAAGGTGGGTGAGTGCTCAGCCCAGCAAAAGACTTGGCCGAGGAGTACGCGGTGGTGTATCTAATGAAGACCCACAGGGCTCAGTAATGGGTCTGAACCTAGCTCTGTATGTTGTTTGGCAGCTTTAAAGGACCAGACTCTTTAGCTTCTTTGGGCCTTTAACTTAAAATGCCCTGGAACCGCATCTCATTTCCTCTGAGCTGCATGGGCTTCATTTTGGCTAGGGTCCTGCAGGACTTTCCACCCCGCTAGGCTGTAATGCTCTGCTGGGCTCCCCCACCTCTACTTCTGGATACTTCTTTGCACTGTGAAGATGTTCCTTTGCTCTCAAAGCAACAACCAACTGCGTAGTCAAAGCTGGGAAGGTAAAAGGCAGGACCAGGACACAAGTAGCAGATGCGGTTGGATGACCCCTGAATCCTGCTGTTCTCAGCTGCTAGATACAGGGTAGCAAGCCTCTCTGGAGGCACATCCAGGGGCTGATACAAACTACAGCTCAGGCTGATGTAAAACTTGCATGGCACCTGGGCTGTCTGCTGAGGATGTTCCCAGGGGCAGGGAGTTGCTGAGAGGTGCTCTCTCACCTCTCCAGGAGTTTTGCAGCATGAAGCAGGTAGTTCCTGCCAGTGTGGTGATGTGTTCCCAGTTTGCTTATGCCTGCTGTAGATTACATGTGTGACCAGGCCTTGCTGCCCTCCTGACTTGCTTCTTTCTCTCCTTGCTTTTCAAGATCTGTCACAACATCCTGGTCCTGTGTCTGCGGGAGCTGTTTGAGTTCAGGTACATGCAGACTGACCCAAACTGGTCAAACTTCTTCTATGACCCACAGTTGCACAAGGTAAGCCCAAGCAGCTGCTGTTCTGCCTCTACAAGAGCTGGTTTTCACCAGCTTTTGATTATTCCCCACTCCCAGAATTTAATGAGTCCTTACTGAGATTCTCTGATTCCTGTCCTTGAGCCTTGGGCAGGCAGGACAGCTGAAACCTGTCTGTCTGCCACTTGTTCTAATGGGATCTGGGGTGGGAGAGCAGGGCGCCTGTCACCCTGGCTGGCTGCCTGTCTTTGGCCTTAGATCCAGTCACAGCTACTTCCTTAGCCTGGGATCTGTTTTGAAGCTGGTCAGTGGGAAGTTGCAGCTGGCAGTGCTCTACCAGGGCACTCCTGAGCCAAGGACTCTTTACTTGAATGTTCTTGTTTTGTGCTGTGCTGAAGATAAGAGTGCCTGGGGAAGCAACTGCAGATGTCCTGCTTGTTGGTTTGGCTGCTTGTGCCCTGCAGGTCAGATAGAATTGCTTGTTCATCCCTGAGGTCTGTGCTGCTCTGTCCCCATGCAGAAAGCCTGAGAGGACTTACCAGCTGAGCAGGTGTGACAATGTGAGCATAGGCCATATCTCCTCTGCCCTGTACTAGTGTGAATGTTTGTGCTGCTGTCAGGAAATAAAGGAGCTGGGGGAAGCCGAGCTGCAGTGGAAAGACTCTCCAGCCAGCTGAGCTTCCTGAAGACATCCAGAGTCATTTTAAGGTCTGGCTCTACTTGAGTGGTTGACACTGTAATACAGATAGGTTTGTCCATTTCCAGGTGGCCCTGTTGGACTTCGGAGCAACACGAGGGTTTGATGAGAAGTTCACAGATGTCTACATAGAGGTGAGGACTTGCACTGTGCCCTAGAGTGCTGCACTGAGGGGCTTGGAGTATTTGCAAAATTCTGCTTTGTTAGCTGTATCACTTTGTACTTGAATCAACTCTGGTGTGGAGGGAAGCAGGGCTGGAGGCAAGAAAGAGATCTCTGGTCCTGCTCCATCCCTTACTGTGGCCTTCTGCATGTCTGCTGCAAGTCTCTGGCTATTTGAGTTTGGATGTTTAAATTAGATGACAAATGTGGTGAACTGTAACGTTGCTTCCTGGGAGACTGGGGCAGCAGAGCATATCAAAGCACTCAATTCAGTGATTTTTACATGTGGGTATGCAGGAATTTGCTTGTCCTGTTCAGTCTCTTCCTGTGATTTCTAGCATGCTTACAGACTTACAAATTTAATGTGAAGTTGTATGTGCTTCCTTCATAATCACCATGTTCTGCACTTGATAAATTGAGCCGCAGGGGCCAGCAGATGTCACCTAAAGCTTCTCACAGTTGGCTTTACTGTTTTGTTGGGGGAGGGCCTGATTGATTCATGAAGCTTTTTTTAATGTCCCTTACATTCTCTGGGCTATGTGTAGCCCCACAGGGAAGAGCTTTGGAGAGCCAGCAGCTGTCTCTCTTTGCCAGTAGCTTTTAAACTGGCGAACATGCAGACCCCTGAAGATGAGGGCAGAGGCAAGGAAGGGAGCGGGCAGCATGTGTACCTGTAGCCTCTGTAGTAGTCCTGTACTCAAAACATTTTTCAGTCATCCCCTAGCTCTCCTGAAAGTGTTCTTCCTATTCAGGTCATCAAGGCAGCTGCTGACATGGACAGAGAGAGAGTACTGAGGAAGTCCATTGAAATGAAATTCCTCACTGGCTATGAAGTCAAGGTATGGAGCAGAAGGGTCTGATTTTAGTGGTGGCTAGAGATAAGTTTGAGGGTCTGTGGTCCTACCCAGGTTTCTTGATGTGGTAAAAGCCAAAATCACCTTGAAAGCCCTGTTGATAAGGATGAGGGAGGAGAGCAAAAATGGTTTTGGCTTTTGTTTTCTCACTTCCTTTGGGGAACAGGAACAATAATGATGACACAGCTAGCCCTAAACCCACTGTCCTTCCTTCTGTGCGCCAGCAAGACCCTGCAGGTGGTGATGACTTCTGAAATTTCATGACTTGCAGATGGTCTTCCGGAAGGTTTAGTTGCTTGAAACTCTGTTAACCAAATGTTCATCAGTCTTGCTGGGGGCTGGAGGTTACCTTTGTTGTGGGTACAGCTAGGTCTTTCTCCTGTGCTGCTGCTGTTAGAAATGCTAACATGTCTCCTTTTCCTTCCTGTTGGTTAAAATGGCTAGTGATGTTACTTATGCCTCTTTCCTTTTGGGCAGGAAATGGAAGATGCCCACTTAAATGCCGTCCTCATCCTGGGAGAGGCTTTTGCGTCTGAGGAACCTTTTGATTTTGGCAACCAAAGCACCACTGAAAAGATCCATGGTTTAATCCCAGTCATGCTGAAACATCGGCTTGTACCTCCACCAGAGGAGACCTACTCTCTTCATCGGAAGATGGGGGGTTCTTTTCTTATCTGCACCAAACTGAAGGCCAAAATTCCCTGCAAAAACATGTTCCAGGAGGCATATAGCAAATATTGGAGCAGTAGGGGCAAGAAGCCAGAGGAGTAGTAAGAATGAACTAACACGTCTTGTTCTGAGGGCACAGTTCATCTGAGCCTTGCAGAGAGCGTTCTAGCCTCCCATGTGTTGCACCCCAGCTCTCCATCCTCTTGAGATGCAGCAGCCTGTGCCCTGGAAGCCAAGTGTGCATTTCATAAGGACAAAGCTGTTCTTTCATGCTGTGTCTGTCCTACACTGATTGTCAGTACAGTCCGCAGCTTGCAGGAAAAGTATCTTCTTGAGCACTTCTGTACTGTTTCAAGGCACCAGCTGACTACCTTGAATGCATTTTTAACATTGTGATGGTGGCTGTGTATTGATTGGGTTTTATAACGAGTAGGAGGAGGACAAGAGCAGAATTTAATACTGAAATCTCTTTGTAATTGTCCAAAAATAGTGTTTTTTTAAAAAACTTCCCTCTTTCATGCTAAGGTGGAGTTCTAGTAGTTTTCGTACTGTGAATTATACAATGAAATACCAAGGTGTACCCTACCACAGACACATTCAGCACTTCCCCCCCATTTTTGTAAGTCAAGTGGTGGCAGTCTAAGAACCCTCCTGCATTTTACTGACATTGATATAATGCAAGGGGTGTGTGTGTGTACATAGGGTGAAGTTTTATGCTTTCTGCCTCTTCTTGGCTTGCAAGCTAACCATAGGAAATATTTTAAAAGTCTGAGAATTGAGTGCCAGTCTCTTTTAAACACACACGTACACTCACACAACCCCTCTCAGTTCTGGGAGTAAATACGCAATCAACAGAGCTATATCAGAGCACAAATAGTGGGATTCTTCACTGTTTGGTAGGCATTGGCTTTCCTGAGGGCAAGTTAGATAAGCTACAACTCTGACACCAATTGCTTGCTAGACTCCTAACCAAGAACCTAGTCTGTCTCTTTTCCTGTAATGCAGAACTTAGGGCAAGGCAGACAAACATGTAATGTCTCTCAGCAGCATTTCAAGCTTTTGCTGAAATGTCACACATTTAAAACCAGATGCACAGTTTTAAACTATTGGAGTCAAGCTAGGAAATTTACTTTCTTAGATTTTTGTACAACGCCTGTACCTGTATGACTTCCTGATTTCAATAAAAAAGTGCTTGTGCAGTGGGCCTTCTGCCTGCAGTTTTTTTTAAATCTTCTAGTTTGGTAATGAATAGCCAAGCAAACCACGTCCTGTTTTGTGGGATAAACAGGAGTTGAGCAGAATGAGAAACTTCCACGTTTCCTCTTGTTGCAGTTTGCTCAAAGAATTGCTGCTACCTTCGTAAAGCCACCTAGCTATGGCCTGTTTATTCCTTCTTGTTTCCATTGCAGCTGTGTCACTAGTGCTAACAGTGACAAGTTTACCAGAAGCCAGAGGGGATCAGCCTGAACATCAGTCTGGCCATGAAAACCCCTAGTAATTGACTTGTTTTCCTTTGTTTTAATCACTCTGTTACTAGTCTCCTGGACACAGGTCTTTTTGCCTTTCCTCCACTTGTGAAGAAAGAGTGGCTGTTGGAGTTGATGCTTACCTGGTGCTAGCCGGGCAGATATCCTTATCTGGCAAGTGCCAGGTATTTAGCAGCAGGCTCAGCTGGTCCTACTCAGCTAACACAGCCCAGGAATGCAGAGGTGGTATGATCTTAAACTTCAGTACGTAAGAAATCCAGGCTGCTGACACTTCCAGAGGTAAAGAACAGGTAAGTGAATAAATGATCCCTCTCAAGAGGGACCTCTGAGAAATAGGAGAACAGGTTATTGTATTATCTTTATTCCCAAATCATAAATATATAAACTGTTTCATTTAATACTTGAGAAAGATCCAGTACTGTTTAGTTCAGCTAAAAGTAACCCTTTGAGAAGAGTGAACTCTGCTGTTCAGTGAAGTAATATAGATTTGCATTAAGCTGTTTAACTTTGCACACTGATAGAGTAACTTTCCTTGTTGTTCTGGGTTTGGATAGGCATAGTTTAGTTTTCCTCCTTTGGATCTAGACCTTGCAGTTTGTAAAACCAGTGGAATTCAGATGTTAAAGATGTTAAATGTTTATGTTAAAGGTTAAAGAACAAAGTATAAAATGCTGACAAGGGAATTGGGTTAGGTGAGCTTCAGAGCAGAATTTCTGAACCTGAAGACTCAGCCAGTATGTTCAGAGAACTTGCAAAAAAAAAAAAAGGCAAAATAACTGGAAGAGCATTACAGTTCACTTTTCCAGTGAGCACAACAAGGTGAGATTGGTATGTTTTATATACCATGCTGGGGCATGAGTGTTTAACTCTCGGCACACATTTCCCTTCCCTTGGGAGAGAGGATGTTTAATAATAACATCAAGCTGAACAAATGGAGTTGTTTTGCATTTGCCTAAAGGGCAAAGTAGAAGATGTTTCTTTATTAAGAGAGCTAATTAGAGCTCTCAGTCCCTAATTCTCTTGGCCTTTTGTGTATGTTCTAAAAGCATTAATAACTTCTATAGTTTTGTCCATAGAGATTTATGACATGAGGAATTGCATGTCAGTGTAACAGCTGTGGAGAAAAGGTGAGCTGGAGACACTGTGCTCTGGCTTCAAGTCAAAAAAGTCATGATGTTTTACAGTGAGCAAGAACACTTGATCACAGCTGCTTATTCTGTACCAGCTAGGGCATTTGCTTGAACTACACATGTAGGTTGAGGATATAAACATTTCTGTGCTGTAGCAAGCTTCTACGTTCTAGAAAAATCCTCTTGCAGAAAACAGTTGTTTGTTCCACAGGGCAAGCAGGAAGTTAAATCTGCTTCTCTGAAAACAGGGTTTTCCATTCTAACGAATCAGGATTCAGGCTACATGTAGTAGCAGTGATTTTCCTACCTTGTTTCTTTAGTCAACCTGGCTGCTGCATCAAAATCGAAAATGAGGAGCTCAACAGGAAGCCTAACATGCAGTTCACTTTCTGCTTTTCTAATGTCCAAATCCCTTGACAGTAGAAGGCCTATTTCCCAAGACCTTCACAGCTGTGATGGTGCAACTGGAACCCTGGGAAATCAGAAATACAGCAGTGAGTGTAAAAGAGCACAGGAAACAGATGGTATTTCACAGAGCTACAGCAGCTAGGAGGGACCTGCAGTGGCCTAAAAGGGATGAGCCAATGGGCTTAAATCTATGTAAGCTAGAGTGGGGGGGCTGAGAAAGTAATCATTTTGACTGAAGGAGAGGGACAGGATCAGAAGTTTGAGGAATAAGGTGGCCTGGGCCATGTAAGAAGTGGGAAGCATGCTGATTGCTCCTGGAGGGGATTGCTCGCAGTCTTTCCTAACGGGGCAATGCCCAGGCTGGCACTGCTGGCAACACAGGATGAGTAACAGCATAGTCCTGTATTCTTGCTGCAGAGGGTGTGACTGAAGCATGTAATCAAAGCTAGGACTTTTACCAAAAGGGTACTGAATGAAGAGGAGGATGTCCTGACAGACAGTCTCTGGTATGGAGAAAAGCCCAGGCTGACTTGTGAGGAACTGGTGGATGATGTGAAAGGGTTGTCAGGGCACATGCCAAATTTCACAGGTATTCGGAGATGCACTTAAAAGATGCATGAAAGCCAATTTGCTGCTGGTAGCTCAGACATAAGTAAGAATCCAGCCTCTGACACTAGGGCAAGCTGAAACATTTGATGTGTAACTAAATGAAGAAGGAACATCAGAAACAATGACTGTAACTATTGACATAGAGCAGATGACCTAAGAAAAAGGTCAGGAAAACTGTAACTGATGAAGTTCAATATACCAAAATATAAAGTGGTTTGATTTGGAATTTTCAAAAAGGTTCTAGTAACTTTTTTCTGAAAGCTGTTAGAGCTAAACAGATTTTCTCATCTATTCCTTTTCTTCCCATTGTGTAGTTATGCAGATGTGTTACAACACACTGGTTTATCTTCAAGAACACCATCGTTCCCCTTTCCATTTGCTCCTCAAAGCCTAACAGGGGGAGGTAGGAAAAAAAGACAAAACATCTGCATTTCTAACAGTTCCCTGTTTTATTGCAGTACATCAAAGTAGGTTAATATTAAGTGTGTTACCAACATAAAATATTGGTGGTAAGTCATTTTTACATTGTTGACTTTTCCACCTTAAATATTTCTGTGCAAAAGAATCTACATCATTGTTCTGTAGCAGAGAATCTCTTACAATGTCCCCTACAACATTGAGGGCATTAAACAAAATAGTGAGAAGAGGCAAAAAGCAGAATCTTTCCCCCACACGCACACTTGTCAGCTTTTATACTCTAAAACAAAAAAGTGATTACATCTATGCCATGCAAAACTGTACAATAATATTACAATGAAAAACCTAAAAAACATATTTTAAAAATAAATGATATGAAACTGTCATACATAAAAAGGCAGGTATAATTGCTCTGAAATACCAACACTGGTTTGTTTGTGGATTTCTTCCCTGTGGATGAGACTTTCTTAAATGCAGAATGAAATAGGTTGTACTGAGCTGCGGCTGGAATGAAAGACAAAGCAGAGTTGGAATTTAGACTGGAAAGCCTGCAGCAGAGCGGTTTCTGGGGCTGTTTATCAAATGCAGTGTGAACACAAAGCACACGGAAGGGTGCAGTTTGTGTTAGTGCAGAAAGTTGTCCCCTTTCCTCTATGGAAATGACTCCTATTAACAAAAAACCCACAGCAGAAGCTACTCTGTGCCACTTTGATTCTCAGACTAAGGCTCAGGAGGAGTGGGTACTTGCACTGCAATAAATTTTACCCTTAATGTATTCATTTAAAATTAAACAGTGTGCATAAAATAAAACAAAAAAAACCCCAATCCAACCTTCTACCCAAGAGCATGTTTGTCCTGTCATTCAGGGTCTGGCCATGCAGGACAATATGGTGCCAGAATCTGTTCCTGTGTTAATACTCCAGCTGTTTGTTTTATTTTGAAAGGCTAGCACACTCCATGAACCAGTTAGATGCAGTTAAACTAGATTTCTGTAAATACACTCTACTTTTTGGACTTTTTTTGGTATGAAAAGACCCTTAACTTCCCTCTGCTGTATACCTGAGAATAACACACCTGGCTTGTAATTTTATCAGAATCAAATCAAAGAAAGAGGTAACATTCCTGACTCAGTTTTGAAACTTGTTAAAATGGGCAAAATGCACATTCATAACAAGCCACAGCAACTAATTGAGAGGAAAAGAAGCAACTACTTCACCACAGCCTCAGGAATGGTTTTTTGTTTTTTTTTTTGAAACCACCAGCTGTCTTCTACAGGTCAAAGGCAATAGAGAAGAGAATACTATAACCCTGCATTTGGGTTTATGAAATGTGGAAGGAAGCCACGTATCTCTGAGCGCACACATGCAAGGGAAAAACTATTTACCAAACCTTTTTCATTCTATAACCTGGAATCCTTAGTAGCTGCCTGAATCTGTTCAGATCCTTTGTTGCCATCAAAAGAGGAAAAAAAAATGCAAAAACCCAACAACCCATATGTTTAAGCAGCATCAAAAATGCAAACACCTTCAGTCTCAGCCAAAAGGAAAAAATCAGCTAGATACATACTGTGTACAGAGAACATCATATGCTACAGTCAAAAATTCAATGGGAGATTTTAAGCTCCCTGAACAAAACGCAGCCCTCTAAGTGTGAAGTTGAAGCAATGCTACAGTGCAAAGTAGCAAACATCAAACCTTAAGAGACAACTGTCTTTGAGATACCAGTCAAGAGTCTTACAGTTCAAATGACCAAGTTACTTTTCCTAGCCCAATGAGTATTAAAAAAGCTCAGCTACAGTATGCATGTGTTTTCAGTGTTCATACCAACAAAAAAAAAGATGAGTGTGGTTTATAATTGAGTGTATAATCAAATGGTCCCCAAATATATAAAACTATTCAAGTCCTAGGACAATTTTTCTCTTCTCAAATAAGTGATGTGGTCATTTGCTTTTCAACTGAGAGAACAGTTGCTGTTTCTCTTTTGAACAGATGCGTATAAAAATGCACAGTACCAAACTCTAATGATTAAATACAGTAATCCTAAAGGAGACTACCAAGGCTTAGAAATTGTGGTGTACAAACAGTGTAGGCCTGTGGTGCACTCATCCTCTGGAGCTTAGTTTTGTAACACAGCTGACCTACGCTCTGCCTGAAAATGTCAGGTTTTTATATCAATAGGTTGCAGGCACCGTAACAGAGTAAACAAAGGGGTTTACTGATTTAATTGTTTGCTGTGTTGTGGCTCTTTGGGTTCCAATTTTCAGATAGAGCATGAGCTCAACTGCAAAAAAAAAAATCCACAAAAAAAAGATCCAGTGACCCTCTCTCGAGACTGTCACGCAGGCTGCTCTATCTTAAATGACTGCTGTTTAAATGCCTTCTCTCAACATCAAAATAATAAGATTAATCTTTAAATACAACATACAGTAAATACAAAACTAGCCTGCCAAGGCTTTGAAAAGTGTGTGGACATGCTTCACCAAAAGGAGGGAATTGTGGGGAAAAAGCAGTGGCTATACTTGAAGCAATATGCAGCCTTTAAAAAGAAGCTGATGTGGAATTTTAATAATGCCAATAATGCCCTGCCTATCTGTCCCTCAGACTGAAAACTATTCTGGGAGGAATTAATTTCAAGTGCTTAGCTGTTTGCTAAAGCTTTTTAATATTAAATGCCAGACTTGCAAAAGTAGTAGCTTTGAAGTGAAAACAAACACCACAACCAGCTTGCTACTCTGAAAAACCCAAACAGGGGAGAGAGAGGCTTTTGGTAGGATGGTTTCTAAACAAATTCTTGAATTCCTGTCCCAAAATGACATATAATGAATTTACTTAAACTTGGACAAGCCTCTTGATTCAGAGTGAAAGAGAAATCTTACCTAGGAGACCCAGCATGATTAAATGGATTAAATGATCTGTGTCTCATTCCCTATTTCACATTTAGATCATACCTGGAAATTACTGCAGGTGGTTTGAACTTACCTATAACTTCCATTAGGGGAGGCAGAAACTGGAAAACTCCAAACATCTCTGTGTGGGTGAAACACTACATACTGCTGACTGCAAGAATACGGAATGGTTTAATAAGAGCCATAACAAGTTTCCGAAACCCACAAAAAAACAGTATTCTAAATACAAAAAGCCCTTACGTGTTTGAGTATGGTCATAATATAAAGCCAGCATCAACACTACTGAGAAGAGAGGCTCATTTGAACACACTCCCAAATGAAACACACATCTGCCTTGCTAACTAAAGAGAGATCTTCCTCTTACCATCCATTTGTACATCAGTCTCACTTTATTCTGTTGGCTGCATGACCAGCTTCTGCTTTTTATGTATATTTGCAACTTCAGTGGGCTCTGTCTTCCACCGCATTACTTTCTGCCCTCCAACCTGACCTGCTATTGGAACCAAACAGCAGGTGAGCACAGAGAAACAACTGCAAATTGCACAAACCCACAGCACGGGTGGGGAGGGAGAGGAAAACCAACCTTGCCAGCGTGGCAGTTGTGGGTGACCAGGCATCTTTGACTACCACAGTGTGAACAGTGTGAGGTCAGTCTTCAAGGTTCTTCGTTGCTACAGTGACAGCATAGCCAGCCACGGCTAGCTTTGGGCTAAGGGCACTCATTTGGCTGATGGGTATTAGCAACCAGTATTTGGTAACAACAGTAACAGTTTTCTGGTTAGGGATGGTCGAGGAGATGTGGAAGACTGCTCCCTTCCGAGTTAGACCCGCTCAAAGGCTGACCCAGGGAAAGTTTTCCGGCTGAATCCAGCCGCAATGAACTCCCTTGCTGCCTTAAGGACCTCTGCTGTAGCATGCCGTAAGGTTCCTCAGCCGCACAGCTAGCACAGGAGAAACCAGGGCAGCCACCTGGCTGACTGGTGCCCTTGGTTGTCGGGGCAGGGGGTTGCTTTCCAATCGTCGTCGTTTTTGCAAAGGATGGGGATTAACATGAAAGTAGGAATTATAGCTTCAGTTATGCTACCGCCAGAAGTAAAGAAATGTTGTGAAAGCACTGCAGGGACCTCTCCCGGCAGCGCAGCGAGTGCTACGCAAAAGGAGCATCTGTCCTGCAAAAGGTTTTAGGCCAGGCCTCCAAGTCTGCATATTACTGAGCATGAAAACAGGGACAACACAAATCTTAAATTAAAGGCTCTCTTAAATAAGCATCCATCTTCTGCTGCATACACAATGCTTTTTTTCTTTGAATATATACATACGTATTTTACTCTAACATCTGCGTATTTATTTAAACTCTGTACTGTAGTAAAATATGCATCATTTTAATCAATAAGGATTTGCTGGCGACAATCAGATTGACATTCAAACATGGTGGCTGAAAGCTTTTATGTGCCTCTGACATACTGATCATTCCCCATGCAGGGGAAGGGGTCTGTGCTACTTTTGTACAGTACAATGAGCTACTGTATGAAAACAAAATCCCTCTGAATTTTCTCTTGTTGATACTGGTCTGGTCTACTTAAGCTACTTTTTGGGAAGTGGAAGGCGGGGGTGGGATAAATGTGTCTTTAAAAATGAAGCAGCTGTAACCACAAAAATGAAACCAATACTAATACAAATCTACAGCATCTGGTATTTACCAACACCCTAGCTTTGCTCATTTGCTGCTGTCAGATCTGGGGAGGGGAGGTGAGGCAGTGCCGAACAGTGCTGAAGACGACCAGCTTTTACCTTCCTCTATACCCCACTCCCAGATCACTTTCAGACAGGGAATGGGGAGGGTTAGGATGATGAAGGTGAGCACTGGAACAAGTGAAGGGGACAGCCATGGGGACAGCAAGCTGCTGTGATGTCAAATCTGAATGCTGAAGCAGTTCATGAGTCCCAACTCACGTGGTCAGAGCTCTCCAGGGAGAGGCTCTTGGTCTTGTGAGGAGAAACCGGGCTGGGAGGGCTGCTGAGGTTGGAGCTGTTCGATGCAGTAGAGTGTCTCGGAGAGTCAGAGTCCTGCAGCCCAAAGACACAGAACAACACCGGTAGGTAAGAGGACAGCAAGTTTGAGATTGACTGAGGGTGTCTGAGCAAGAGGTGACTGGATTCAAAGGCCTCTATGTATTTTGCTCGTGTCCAAAAACACTGAGGAATTTTTTTTGCTCAGAATTTCCTGGTCCAGGGAGACTTAAAGAGTAAGTGGTCAGATCACTCTGCTTTAGGCATAACTGATGCTGACATAAGGACACAGCACCTGTGGGATTCTTGCAGTCTGCACATCGCCGAGGGCCTCTTGGTCAGCAGAGTGTGCAACTTCAGGTTGCTTGTGATGCTACGGTGGCTGCTGCCTTTTCACAGATCATGATCTGAGATGCTCTTGCACTAAACTGAGAAATCTTTGTGGTACGGGCTTCACTACAGCTACCTCTTCTATGTCAGTCCTAGGATATTAACACAAAGCATCCTATCAAGTCACTCCAGTTGAATCTTCCAGAGTACAGTAGAATGCAACTATGTCTGAGCTTGAGTTTGGGTTGACAGTTGCCTTCCAGCTTCAACTGGAAAGATATATTCAGTATCATGAAAAGCCTGTGTGATCTCTGATTTTCTAACTCCTTGGTAAGAAAAAGAGCTGGGGAAGTTTTGCTGGTCAACTTGAGATTGAACCCTCCCATGTAAAACATTCTTGGTTGGAGGGACTGAGTTTAGCACTGGGCAGGATTGCAGTCTTATCATAATGTTAGTCTTGTTCTGCACAGAATATAAATTATTAAATCCAGTTTCTGCTCTAAATTAAATTATTGTATGATAATTCTTAAATTACCTTGTTAACTTCAGTCACTCTTTGAGTACAAAATGTCTCCTGTGAAATGCTTGCTAAGATAGCTTAAGAGTCTTTGCAAATAAAGGGCAGAAGGAATATCACCATTTCAAGCTGCGATAGGTCACTATCAAGCTGTTACTCTACTAGGCCAGTATTTTTGGGAGCCTCACTACCCACATATCTCCAGGTATGGAGCGCAGAGAGTGTTTTCTGGATGTTAAATAAATACCAGGACCAGAGTTGACACAGTTTGACCAAAGTCTTTTGTCAAGATAGCCTGAAATACAGGAAACCCAAGTCTTTGTCAATGACTCCCAAACTTGCAGCCAAACCCATGGCAGAATTTAACTTCCTCATCTTTATCAATGCATTTAAATTTTCTCCTCTTTCTTCTGTCACTCACCTCCCGCTCATAGTCCCTTGTTGGTGCATCGCTGCCTTGGTCCAGGCCACCAGAGGATAAGGAACCATCTGAGGGCGATGCCATAGGCTGACGCTTTGCTCCGTAGCTACCTCCTGAGAATTCCCTCCGCAAAGCGCTGCCATTTTGTGCGGACGATCCTAAAACACGTGGAGGAGTTAAACTGTTACAGATGCCTGCTCAAGGTACTAGAAATTGGTTGGCTGCTTCTCTGGTTGGTTCTGCTTTCCTCCAGCATATCCCAAGATGCTCAGCTCATGGCTTGTGGGTTGTGTGGGCTTTTATCTTGTCTGCTGCCAGCTGCAGTTTTTCCTAGGGATTCCCTGGTCTCTCCCTTGGCATGTCAGCATTAGCACGCTTTACCCAGCACAGACACAGTCACTGTGCTCCCGACAAAGACAGCAGTTGTAGAAACTGCTGTGGTGGCAGCCTAGTTCCAGTGGCCTCTTTCCCAGCGAGCAGGTGGGTTGTACTGGCAGGTACAGGCTACAACAGACGCGCACTTTCTGCAAGCAGTTGGTTATGTGCAACAAATGCGGCGTGTGCCACAGGAACAGAAAAAACCTAGAAAACTTGGGACACTGGTCTTGTCTCTTTCAATGCAACTCTTCCATACCAGCACCTACTTTTCTATTGCTTTCTCTTTGCACTAGCAGCAGGAGAGGCATCAAGAACTCTACACAGTTCAGCAGCAAAGTTAATAACCATGGAGCTTGTGAACAACTTGCCACTGATTTAAAACACTCAAGCAGCAGCAAAATAGTGCCAAGGGTAAGAATGTAATTTTAATTCTAACGTCAGTTTTAAAAATTTGACAAATTACAAATGTGGGAGTCTTAAAAGTGCTGGCTGCTTATTCATGTGCTCCTTTGAAAGTAAGATTAAAATACTGTGCTTGCCCTCAACGGGAATACGGTCAGTATTTCACTTCTGAAAATCCTGTCTTGTGGCAGTAAGGATAGAAGC